TGTTTAATTTTTGACCAAAAATGACATGACAAATTGACATTTTGACAAAAACATTTAATCAGAAAAATTTCTAAAATGGTTCTCTAAGGGCCCTAATTTTATGAGAAACATGCAGGCAAAGATACAATTTTGAAAAATAATTTTACAAACATTTTCATCAAAATGTCTTTGTTTTTTACCAAAATTGACATGACAAAATGACATTTTGACAAAAAGTTTTAAACAGTAAAATTTGTAAAAATGTTCTCAACGTGCACTAATTTTATGAGAAACATGCAGGCAAAGATACAGTTTTGAAAAATATTTTTTCAAAAACTTTTCATCAAAATTGTTTAGTTTTTGACCAAAAATGATATGAAAAACTGACATTTTGACAAAAACGTTTTAAACTTATAAAAATTTCTAAAAATGTTCTCTACTTGAAAAATAATTTTACAAAAAGTTTTCGTCAAACTTTCTTAGTTTTTGACCAAAAACGACTTGAAAAATGTTGTCATTTTGAGAGAAAACATTATACAAAAATATTACTAAAGATTTTCTCTGAATACCTTAATTTTATGAGAAACATGCAGGAAAAGATAACATTTTAAAAATAATTTTACAAAAATATTTGTCAATATATTTTAGTTTTTGACCAGAAAATGACACAAAAATTATGAATTTTGACAAAAAGATCAAACAAATAAATTTCTAAACATATTCTCTAAATGCCCTTATTTTATGAGAAACATGCAGGAAAAGATAGAATTTTTAAAAATAATTTTACAAAGTTTTTCATAGAAATGTTTTAGTTTTTGGCCAAAAATGACACAATTCACATTTTGACAGGAATTTTTTTTAAATACCCTACTTTTATGAGAAACTTGCAGGAAAAGATTAAATTTTGAAAAAAATTTTTACATGATTTTCGTCAATTTTCTTTAGTTTTTGACCAAAAATGACACGTAAAAAGCAAAAGACTATTTTTCAGAATCATCTGTTTACTGTTAATTACTCAGAGTTAGAGAAAATGCATTTAAAAATGTCTGTGTGTGTGGAATTACAATGAGAGAGAATTTTAGTGTTAAGTTTTCTTTATTTAACCTGATAAGTGTAATTAACATTAAGATCTCTTTCACGGGGGTGACCAGGTCAAGAGGTCACCAGCGCACGTCATAAAACTAAAATTACAAAATTTTAACAATATCAGCCAAAGTGAAATGAAAGAAAACCACAGTATTCTCTGATATTAATTACTTCCAATACGTTAAACAGTCAAAGTTGGTGAATGTTAACAAACAGGTCATAAATGAACCAGAAGAGAAAGAAGAATCACCTGTAGCTTCATCATGCGTTGGTCTCAGGGGTGGTCTGCACAGTGGTTTGGTAGTCTTTAAACCAGAGGTCACCAACGTGGTGCCTGGGGTCACCTGGTAGCCCCCATGGACTACATAAGGTGCCCGCGGGCTGTGTTCTAAAACAAAAACCAAAAAACTACTGTTACTGTGCTTGTTGAATCAGTTCCACTTGATATTCAATGCATTGATATTCAAATGAGTCCAATGACAACAATGAGGTCTGTCCCAGAACGTATCATTATTATGTTGTTCAGGAAGTCTGTATCAAACAAGTAATTTTGAAAAAAAAAAATTAAAAAATGTTCATAAAAATCTTTCGTCATCAATTTTGTTGAAAAACATGCAGACAATATAAAAATTTGAAAAAGAAAAGCAAAAATATTTATCAACATTTTTCATCATCTGACCAAAATTTAGGGTTTTGCCAAAAAAAAAATTATATATTTTTTTTTCAAATTTCTCTAATTTGATGAAAAACTCTAACTGTTCGTATAATGAAGTGTCCTTGAAGTCAGTTTCAAAAAGGTTGGTGACCCCTGATTTAAACCTTGCCCTTCCTGACACAACTCACTCAGGGATTTGGGGGATTAGGCCGCCTGGTGGCGGATAGCGATCACTGCCACTGCACCACTGTAGCCCAAGACATGTTTTTAACCACGGTCTCATGTGTTTAACAATATTTTGACGACCAAATGTATTTGTTTTCATTTTATTTAAATTTCCAGGGTGATGTCTTTCATTGAGAAAAGCGTGGCCAGACTGGACCAGCTGGACCGACTGGAGGCTCTGGCTCTGGAGTTGGGGAAAAGTCATTTTCACTACAACGCCTCGCCCAAATACTACAGTGTAAGAATCTCCTCCTGGACCAAGTCATCGTGAATATAATTTTTATTTTGTTTTTGTTGGTGGTGTTTATATTAGGCTGTCAACTATTTGTATTAATTAAAGTGGCCGTGGATGAATCTTGACATATTTAGGCGTAATTAAGCAACAGCAATTGATTTGGTGTCACCTTAAAAGTCGAATAACCTAAGTTGTCTTACCTATTTAATACTTTTAGCCGAGCCTTTTCTTCTTCTTTACGTTTCAACACCAGCTGCTGTTCTTTCGTTTACAATAGTGCCACCTGGTGGTCGGTAAGTAGGCATTTCCAACCTGGAAGCACCTGTAAAAACAGAAGAAAAAAATAAGAAAATATTAATTTTTTTTTTTGGTGAAATAACTGTTTCTAAGAATCGGAGCAGTTGAAAACAAACCTGTTTCCTTTGAACACAGCCACAGTTACACCTGCACAAACACGTCACCGAGTGTCTGCCCTGATTGTTTTGCAGTATGTCGGAGCCGAATTCATCTGTGCCGTGCAGCCCATCCTGAAGGAGAGGTGGACGCCTGAGCTGGAGGAGGCGTGGAAGGTAAGGAGCGTCGCTGAGTGTCAGCCCACACGCGCGTCTTCTTACGTGGGCGTTAATCAACAACAAAACAGTCTGGGGAAAATTCTCATTGTTGCTGGATTGATGTGCGTCAGCAACAGCGCCGAGTGTCTGACACCGAGCAACAGACGATCCAGCTAACCTGTCAGGGTAGGAGTCTGCAGATTGACAACAATCTGGGAGGGAGGGGGGGGTGGTTTGGGGGTGGCACACTGTGATGACACCAATCTACAGGCCACGTTATTAGGAGCGCGATTTTACTGGCTCCGTAGTGCAGTGACTCACAGTCTGTGTGCCGTAGTACCTCAGTGTGCCATTAGAGGTCATCAGGTGCTCTGTGGAAAATTGCCCATTTCTACTTAGTTGGTATAAAAACCAGTATTTATTTACTAATAATTTGTTCCTCGCCTGTGCAACATTGACGGGCAGAATTAAATACTCTTCCACTAGGTGGCAGCAGATATCTATCTCTCACTCCATATACCATATGCATTTATATATACACATTTTATATATAATTACTTGTGGCCAATTAATTAATTGATAATTAAAGACAGTCTGTGTTTAGAAGAGTGGTGCAGTGGAAACGTGCTGGACCCACAACCCATAGGTTGAAGGATCAAAACCATCCTCTGCTACAATAATTTAACGCGCAGACCATTTCACAGGAAATCATTTAAGAATTTGGAGTAAAAACCAAACGACTTCCTAAAGCACTGGCTGTTTTACCAGTCCAATGAAATAACCACTGACTGTTTCTGTCTGTGATCCAGACCATGTTCCAGTACATCACCAACCTGATGAGGCAGGGCTACCACGAGGAGAGCTGCCGACAGCGCCACCTGACGCTTTCCCCAAAGGACAGACCAGAAAAAAGCAACACGGCACTATGAGACCCTCCTCCCTCCTGGTCCCCCCCCAGCAGCGCCCCACACAGGCGTGTCTTTGTACATAGTGTATTTACTGTCCTGTTTTCTACACTGATCGTCTGTCGACACTTTCAGCACTTTGTTTCTCTGATGTAAAAATCCTGCTGCAGATCTGTAACGTAGTTGTGATGAAGAGACCGATTAGAATTCCAGTCAAATCTACTGCACGTCTCTGTAGCTGTAACACAAAAACCACGTGCAGTAAATCTACAGGTTTCACTGATTGACTTTGTAAAAACACACAGACTGGCGTTGCTGTACTGTACACTTTATTGGTCTGTGACAAATTAGTGAATTTTACTTTGGAATCTTAGCATGTGGATGTGGTTCAACAACCAACGGGGCACATACATGATCATTCATTGTCCAAAAAACATACAAAACTAAATGTATCTCCCAAATCCAAGCAAAGACAAAGAAACTAAATGTATCTCCCAAATCCAAGCTCCAAGACAAACTGGTGAAAATTTGACCAAATAAAACAGACCTGATTTTAAAAAAAGAAAAGAAAAAAGTCACAGTCTTCTAAAGACATGATCAAATTACCTGCCAGTTCAGCTCACAGGTTAACAACGTAAATGTGGACCATTAAATATAAAAGGCCGGTGAAGGATCGACTGTGATTTGGCTCCAGAGGTGACGTTGGTGAAGCTCCGCTGTGCTGATGGCGTACAGCTGAGCTGCTGCTGCTTCTGCTTCTTCTTGTATCAAAGTGTCCTGCTCCTAATCATCGATGGCACCGAGCAGCCAAGGATGAGACCTTACCATGCAAAAACAAAATAAAAATGGCATAATATCACAACGGTCACCGAATGAAGGTGTGGTCAGTCTGAGGCCTCTGGGTAATGAGGGCGACGTAGCGTGGAGCCAAAGTGGAGGCTCCTCCCACGGATCACCAGCTGATCGTACAGGACAGTGTTGGTAACCGATGGTTACATGACTGTCCAATGCTCACTGAGTGGCTTTAGTTTTTTTGCTTTTGCTTTTTTTATCTTTCTTCTTAAGTCCATCCATGTGAGCTCTGAGGAGGTTGGAGTAGGCCTGTAGGGGGAGACGGAGGGGGAGAGGATGGGAGACGTTCTCATTTAGTCACAAATAAAGCACTCACCATAATCCATAGCAGTATCATAGAAAAATATGACATAGGATATTAAGTGGACCCACCATTTGAAACTTGATTACTTCTTTTGTGCTGACCTGAAATTAAAGAGCCAGGAAAAAAAAATCAGCTTCTGAATGAGATTAAAGGCAAAACATCAAAGGTTCTACGAGTTCAAACACTGGGAAATCGTGTAATCTTACCACTGTGCTAATTTTCTTTTTGCCGTCAGATGCTCTGATGAGACATTTGTTGTCTGCTGGTTCAAACGACTCCGTGTGCCCCTTCCTGGGCACCGGCTTTGTCCTCCCGTCGTCTTCAAATAAACATAAAAGAGCAGCACGTTAGATTTGCCTCCGCATTTCAACGACTTTAAAACCCAACCAGAAGAGCTCACTTACATTTCTTTAGCGTGATGACAACACTTCCAGATGTTCTGCACTTCTGGAAGAGCCGCGTGAGTTCTGTGAGGAACTGAGGCCCAGAGGGGGAGAGAGGGGCACAGGTGAGTATTTGGACTTTTCCTTCACTGAAGCTGTGGCTTTTAAAGGTGTAGTGCAAAAACAGTGTACACAGTGGAGTTGTAGTTTCTATCATTCTTAACCAGGGATGTAACGATGCAGCGAAAACCGATTAAAAATCGATACAAAAGCGCGACAATTCACATTGGTTAAAATAAAAAAGAATTGCGTGTCAACATGTAAAGAATATGCTGCGTTATCTCAAAAAGTCAGTGGTCACAGAATTACACTACACATTGTAGTGCAGTAGGTGGCAGCATGCACCTAAAAACCTTGGTTTCTACATAGCCTGGGTAACATTCACGTGTTCAAAGAGAACGTGGGAAAATAGTGATGAAATGCATTGTTAACGCAAAAAATAGTTAATCATTATGTATCACGGGTTGAGTGTATCATTACAACTATAATAAAGTAAAAACAATAACACTCTGGGAGTTCAGTTGGACAAAGGCTCTGTGGTTAAAGCTGAGAAAGTTGTTTTTCCAGAAAGAGTAAAAAAATAAAGAAAAAACTTCCAAACAATAATGGCTGCTACTTGTAATATTAGTATTTAACTGCTTTTGATCAGTTATCCTTTTAACACCATGACAATCCTAACTGGTTTCTAACCGACGTTTTTTGTCTGCATCTATTTTAGTTTCTCAAATTGTGACAACAGGCATGAATATAAATTAATGTTCTGTCATCAGTTCTAAATTCCCAAATTCTAAGGAAATTCAAGTCTGACTTTTAAACTTTTAAAGTTTTGATTGGGAGGCTCTGTGTCAACACCACCACTCCCTCGAGTTCCTAAATCCTCAGATCGAAAATCCAAAGATTAACCCAAAACTGAAGTTAAGAAATACAGGATGAGTACCATTTATAGAAGTGGTTCAATCCTTTGATTTTTTTTGTATCTACATTTATTGAAAAAAGTAACATATTATGTTACATCACACGTTTTTGATTATTTTGTTTTTTACCGATAAAGCTCTGGCCTCCTACAGCAGTGTTGTAAACGGTGAGATTTCTTTGAAATGAAACTTATGTGATAAGAACTTTCTGATAAAACTGACGACTACTGTGTAACCCACAAATCACAGTGGGAGTGGTAATTATACTTAAAATCTCTAAAAATTGAATACAACCATTAAGGAAAAGAGAAAGTTTTAAAATGACCAAGCAACTGCATCGTTTAGTTAGCAAACATTAACGTTATTTTCGGCCTCTGTTCAATGATTACTATACTATAATTTAATTAAAAAATATTTCCTTAAGCCTTCCTTTTTTCATAAAACAACATATAAACTTCGAAGTTTGTAATTACACAAGACATATTTTAAACGCGGGTTTAACCGGTTTTAGCTTAAGCGTTAGCAAATCTGCTAATGAGTGAGTCGGATGACCAGCTGTGACGGTTTCCGCTGTTAACACTCCCAAAAAGAACTCCAGTGTTTCATGTTTTATATTCATCTGTAACAGGAATAACGGTTGTTTACAGTGTAAAATTAAATATTCTTACCGAGTCATTTTCCAGTAGCACCATGTCACTGCCTTAGACTCAGCTGTGGAACAGCTACACAGACCTCAAGCTAACGCTGCTGTGAAGCACACGTACTACTCTGCCTGGAGCTCCGCCTTCCGCCATCAGATACACGTCAGGTAGCGTCACAGCGCCCCTGCTGTTTGGGAGAGGAAGTGTAGCAGTAACTGTAGCGGCCCATCGCTAGTGCTTCAGATCATACAAGGTCATGGCTGGAATAAATTTATTGCCATTTTGCTTTCAAATTACCACACGATATTAGATATTTACACACATTTTTTTTTTTTTTACATTTTTGATAATTTATTAAATAACTCAACGTTATGTTGAGCTCTCAGTCATTTTGTGCTTGATGTTAAATATGACTACAGCTTTACCTAAATCTACATACATCAAAATTATATTTTTACCATGCAAAACACTAATATGAAGAAAATATAAATAAGATAGAAAATAAATCACAACTGTTGTACAGGCTTAATTTTTTTTTTTTTTCAATCTGACTTTTCAGTTCACGCTGAAGTCATGTTGACAGTGCACAGTCGGGGTGCTTGTCCAAGTCAGACAGATGTACAGCAAACTCTGAAGACCAGTCTCTGTCAAAAACCTCCCTGAGTTGTCGCTGCAGAGCCTTGGTCTTCCACACAGGGGGAGGTGCATGCTGGGAAATGACTACGCCCACACCAGCTGTGTTTAAGAAGTAGTCGCCACACCAGTTGGAGGTACCTTAGTGACAAGACAGTGAAGTCTGGTTAATAATCAACTCTCTGGTTAAGAAATAAATGTAATTCACACAAAACTAGTCGGAGCTAACCAATGTAGGCCGCCTTATCCGTCACCATGTACTTATTGTGGTTGATTCTGGTGAATGGAATATCAGTCTGGTTTCCTACAGGTATAATGTACACTTTCTGAGAAAAGAAAGATAGACATTCAAACATAAATGAAAAAGAGAACCAAGGATTTCTTCTTTGCCTCAAAGAGAGATCGTCGTATCTTACGACTTGAATGCTGATGTGATGGCGAGGGCTGTCCATAGAGGCCAGTGATTTAAGAAAAGGCAGCATGGCCGGATCAGAGTCTCGTCCGCAGCTGACCAACATCCGGACCTTGACCTTTCTCTCAAAGGCAGCCACTCGAAGAGCATCATCAATGAACGGCCAATATCTGTGGTGAAGAATTACCCAAACTATTTTATCTCTTCGTTTCCCCTTTTTTTTTTAAAAAAGTTGACTTTTAATTTACCTTTTTTTTTTTAAAAAAAGTTGACTTTTAATTAAAAAAAAAAATACAAAGACTTTTTCTGTGTATGAGATTCTACCTATGAGGCTTTTCAAATCTGGTAGTAGGAAAATAATCCATGACGGCTACGTCAACGTAGTGCTGAGACTCCGAGATGATGGACAGAATGGCTTGCAGGTCCTGAGTTCTGGAGGCAGGGCAGAATGAGGGTGGTGCAGCCTGGGGTAAATAACAGACAGAGTTGTGTTCAGCACAGACGAGGTTGTAGATGTGACGGAGGTTTAGACACAGCTCCGCCTCAAAAACTGCTATTTAACACCAACTCTATACACACTGTTTCACTTCAATTTCATCAGTAAAAAAAAAACAAACTAACACCAACTCTATACACACTGTTTCATTTCAATTTCATCAGTAAAAAAAAACAAAAAGAGAAACTCACAGAGAGGTAGATACTGCTGGAGACATTTTCAGTCTTCACCAGCAGAGGGCGCTGCTTGTTGATGTCTGTGTCATACTGTGGAGGCCAGGGCCGGGGCAGGGTGCTGTTGGACTCTCCCATGACCCAGTAGGACTCAAAGATCTTGTAAAGATCCTGCGCTAGACTGGAGCAGTTGTAGAAGACGACACCAAGTTCCTTCACCTGTTTGGTGGAAATTAAAAAAAAAAAGTGTCAGGAAAATGAGTGGAGGAAAGAGGAAAGTGAGATTTAAGGTTTGTTTTTCAAGCTGGACCTGTGTGACAGCTCTCCAGTCCATGTTGGCACTTCCAATTAGCAGATGTTTCCTGTCAACGATCCAGAACTTGCTGTGGAGGACACCTTGTGTCAGACGTCCGAAGTCCACCTTCCTGACCTGAACTCCTGTGGACGGAGAGATTGAAGGTTCAGACGGTGACAAGATTGAAATAAAACCCACAAATAGGTACAGTTCCAAACCTTTTTCTTCTAAAATCTTCAGATCTGTGGAGTTCGGTGCGACAGAGGGGACGCTGGTCATCACCCTGACAGAGATGTTCCTGGAGGGCAGCTCCCCCAGCTCTCTGAGGACTTCCTTCCCCTAGGAGTCAAGGACAACCACTTTATATATATACATCATCATAAGAGAGAATATCACAATCATTAAAACATTTAAGGGCTTTTCACTTCTTGTCTCCTGACTCACTGGTAAACTCGTGGACGAGTTGACATGAATGTCTTCTCCAGTCAAAGTCCAGTAAAAAGAGACCACGTTGACTTCCTCTGCTGCGAGGCTGAGGAGATGTTTCCAGACCCCAACCACAGAAATCCCACGTGTTGCGTTGCTTTCAAGTTCCACATAAAGAGGAATGCTCTCCACCAGGGCCATGCTGGGATCAGACAGGGATGTGGAGCAGAAACCCCGGTAATTAACAACATCACCTACACTGCAACCAATGGCGCTGTTGAAATGAACACGTTCATCCCTAATTAATTCGCAAAGATTAATCTGATCTGAAATGTTTAACGCATTGTGATTTATGGGCAGAATAATGCGCAATACACATGAAATAATTCCAATATACGTCACAGACAGGGATGTGGAGCAGAAACCCCGTTAATTAACAACATTGCAACCAATGGCGCTGTTGAAATGAACATGTTCATCCCTAATTAATTCACGAAGATTAATCTGATCTGAAATGTTTAACGCATTGTGATATATGAGCAGAAAAACATGAAATAATTCCAATATACGTCCATTCATCGTTGTTCAATACATACGTTATAACATACACAAACAGCAGGAGCTTAATATTCCATCTACTCTAGTGCAGGCGTCAACTTCCGTTAGTAGTTTTGCATCACTATCTTGACCTTTTCACATATTAACAAATCCATCAGCTAAATTAGTCATGAATAAAAACAGGTGTTAAACACATTCATCTACTGGGAAACTGTTAACTTCCGGTTCCAGTCATGTTTCTGAATGTCAGTTCACCTTCTTTAGTTCGTTATGATGATTAATTGTTATAAGTTCCAGTCATGATTAATCAACAGACACCCTGATGATAAGTCTGATATAAGATGTTGTTCGTTTGACAATTCTAGCGTAAAATTCCGTGGTTGTTGCACAGTCACAGTCCAGGAGATAACTGCTGCGGTTTATTCGTTCATTTCCTCATAAAGCTGTTGGTCGACGCTGAACAAGTGTTCTCAATATGTTCTTCTATTTGGTCTTTTTTCCACGTTTTTATTTGTTTAAATCACAGTTTCTACTATATCGGGGTTTAACTGTTCAGGGACTTTGACTGTTGTCCTCCTTCAAATCACTGGTGACGACTTAGAGAAAATCCTTTGGCATTTCTTTGCCCAATTATTATTATTATTTAGGTTTTAGCTACTGTTGGTCTTTTCTGTGTTCCATTTTGTTCTTTTTTTTCTCAGACAACATGCTCGTTTCTGTCCTCTTTGGACTTCCTGAATAAAAGATGTCTCAATGGCTCAGAATGAACTAAAAACAAAACTCGAAAGATTTATTTAGAAATGTTTTGCATTTCACTTTCATTTCCTCAAAAGAATCTACGTTTATTTTTCCTGTGTTCAGAATCTTCCTGCTTTCACTCATGCATGAATCTGCCTTCATTAGTCAAGCCATTCAAATTATAACTATTTAATTAAGGACTGGAAACTGTCAATCAAAACCAGCCTGCAGATCCCCCTGGTGGCTGCTTGGGTGTATAATCATGTTCACACCCATTTGAACTGCAGCCATATGTTCAGTCACCTGCACTGTTCTGTGGAGCCCACGTCCTTTTTGTCGTCTTGAGGCAGCGTATCGTGTTCATCAGGAGGGGGCGGTCTCTCCAGGACGACGATGGCCAGCAGGATTCCCAGGACTACTAGAACTCCCAGAAGCACAACTAGTCCCACAATGGTGATCGACCTCTGACGAAAAGAAGAATCCCTCTTCAGGTAAAAAGGAAAATCAAAACAACACACATAAGTAAAGAGCCTCATTGAAATAATCTATTTTTAGATTGTTGATAAAATCTCACCCCTCTGCCTGAATCACGGCCGTCCTGAAGGCTTTCATAAACTGAAGTCATTTTCCCTCTTCAACCTCGACTCGCAGTGATCCGTCCGTCCTCAGGAGAGAAGTTTTAAAAGACAGATGATACGGTTCTTTTAGCACACAACACAAAGCTTCCTGCTCCTTCTGCTTTCATTATGCACTGAGCTGAGGTGGTGCTGTAGTTCTCATTTACACTGTGGTGCAGCTGAGTTCCCACTTTCACTTTCTTTTCTGCTATTCTCAGCCTGAGAGAGTGAACATGGGTAAAATGTCAAAAAAAAACAACAAAAAAATAAAACGATGAAGATAAAAAAAAACAACAAAAAAATAAAACAATGAAGATAAAAAAAACAACTGTTGCTTATGAAATTTATTAGAAAATAAAAAAAAAAACAATCACCATCTAAACAAATTATATAAATAATCAAACATAAATATCAGCAAAATACGATTACAGGCAAACCATTCAGCAGAGAAGAAGAGATTTAAGATGAACTTTAGCTCAACAGACAAAACAAGGACTAGCAGTACAGTGATCAAGAAAAACATTCAGTTTCAAATGTGCTCGTAAACAACCCCCTGAGGTTCGTGTGAAACCTGATCCATACACACAGTTCTGTGGCACTTTTAGGAACTTTCCAAAAACAATCACAGACACTCTGGACTGAAAGAAGAGGGAAATAAATCACTTTTACTTCCTCATTTTCATTGTCCTCCGACTCATCGGAAAAGATTACAATCTATCAGAGCAGAGGGAGGGATTATAATCTTGGCAGCGAGTCAGGCCGATGGGTGTTGCTTTACTAGAGCGGTGCAAAAAACACGAGAGTGAGAGGTAATTTGTAGAACACATACTGTAGGTAGCTTTAGAACTGCATTTACAAAATGGCAAAAAAAAAACAACCCAAAAAACTAATGATTTATTTTTCTTTTCATTAACATTTAAAACTATGTACAGAAATATGGAACTGTTCCCTCTGGGAGAAGACCAAAAATATCCCAGACTTTTTCTATTTTTTTTAAGTATTTTGTCAGTTTGTTGGTTTCACTGAAAACCCTGTGTTTTGTCTTTGTTTTTGCGATTGGAAAATACACACGGAGAAGAAACTTCAAAATTTACAAATGTATGGCTGTCGGACCTGGATGTTTTTAATAAGCTCTTCAGACTGGAAAGACAAGACGGAACGAAGCTCAAAGGAAGAAGTTCCCAGTTGTACCTGATAGATGAAGACACTTCACAGAAGCAGCAGAGATGGTCCAAAGTGGGCTCGCCGTGTTTGATGGCGTGATCCATTTGTGTCGGTCGGTTTGTGGACTCGGCCGTGACTTTTGATTTAGAAACACATTCCTCACAGTTTTTCACCTTTAACTTGGCAACAAGTACAAGGTCATTCGATTGGACGCGGTCAGTGAGTGAACAAAATACACACTGGTGAAGAAGGATGGACTCACACTACAGTCCGCAGATCTGTGAAATTATTGGTGTCATTTCAGTTGATATTTTAAATATTCGCTAACAGACGACCGTGTATTTTGTTTTGTAGCTTATCAAAGGGAACCATTTAGAACTTCCTCAAATTGTCACTTCAACACTGGGCCCCCCCAAAAAAAGCAACAACAGCACAGGCGTCACCGTGCGTCACAGTTTGTGTTTGTAGTGCAGGAATAGAACAAGTGCGTGCGTCTGGGTCTGTGTGAGGGTGCAGGTGGTTCAGTCGATCTGCTCTCACTTCTCCTCTGGTTACATTCTGTGGTGCCATAGTTTGAACACGTGTGTGCAGCAGAAGTTCTGGATCAGACCTCAGACCAACCGTGCCTTTCTGAGATCATCGGGCGCCGCCGCCGCTCTCCTCGCACCGTCGCCGAGCCTCAAGCCAGCCCCTGGTTTTGACCCCGGGTGAACCGTCCTCCAGTCCTGAGAAGGAGGAGGTCTGGAGGGGCGGACTCCAGACGAGGAGGCGGAGGAGGAGATGAAAGGAGCCGAGGCCTTGGATGTTTCAAACTGACAACTTGGTTCCACCACTGTATTTATGACTGAAAACGGAAAATGACAAGACAAAAAAACGTATTTATCAGAAATGTTCAGACACATCAGGTGCCAAAGCTTCTTATTACTTTTGACAGCCAAACAAAAGGTGTTAACTGAAAATGACCAAAGCATCAGAATAGAGAAGTAAAAATAATTTCCAGTAACACATTTGTGGAAGCGCCGCTGATGACACATAAGCTCCACTATATGTATTTCACATGTAATTTTACAGGAAATGATGAGTCATAACTGAAGTCACCACACGGCTGTTCAGGAGGTAGAAAGTTTACATCATAACACATCTGCATTAACTGTAATATATTTATAATATACAGTAAAATATCTGAAGAATACATTTTCAACATCCTGTTGAATCTCCTCCAAAAGGACTTTAAACCAGAAGCAGCAAAGAGATTTTCCATTTCCATTTCCCCTTACCCTCTAGTTGGCGCTGAACTCTCCTTAGTTCTTTCAGGATGGTAATGATTTCCTGAAATAAAAAAAAACAATAGTAAAATTAATTTGAATAAAATGTGAATTTAACAAAAAACTGTTCAAACGTCTTTACTGACCTTGTTGGACGTCTTGACAGCAGGGACGTCGGTGTCCAAATGAATATTTGCCTCCATTTGTTCCCAGATATCCTCCCTGTTCTGGAACAGAACCCTGGATGTGACAACATGTTCTGGAACAGAACCCTGGATGTGACGAGTGCAGAGGTTAAAATTATCGAGTCAAACTGTGAGCAGAGTTAAACTTTAGGTGTTTTATTGTATTGTTATGTTATTACTGACATAAACATACATATTTACACACACATATATACATCTATACACTAGGGATGTCTGATATTAACTTTTTGCCGATATGCAATATTTCAATATTGTCCAAACAATTAATTTTCGATTAAGGGACAGAATTAAAATACAATTGAGCCCCTGGTAATATTTACTTATTTGTCTGTAAAAACCACTGTAGGAGTTCCTGGCACCAGCATTCTGTATACAATCACCTGATTATTAAGATTAATAAAATGAGCTACAGTGCTGCCACCTAGTGACTAGAGGCTTGTTTACCGTTCATAATGTTCTGTGTTCATGTGTTATGAAGGAGTTAACAGTTACGGGAGTGGGAGTGAGGAGGTGAGGTGAGAGAGGGTGTGTGTATGAGGAAGAGAGAGTGTGGAGAGCGTGCGAGAGAGTGAGAGGAGGAAAAGGTGTTTTTGGAGAAGTTGGGTCGAAAGCAATAAAGGAGTTTAGAACGAGTTACTGCATTTGTGTTTCAATAAAAGTTCTTCAGAGCACTGAGGCATCTGATTGGTCTGTCTCCGGGGCATTAAACTACTACTAGCACACATCAGTTGGCGAAACTCACACATTGCATAATCGAGTTTTCATTGTCGGAGGAAAAACCGATAACGATTCTTACAGCTAGTGGAAAATATATCATCGGTCGGCCCGATATTATCACCGACAACCCCAATATATACACATTTTAGTCTTACTTTATTTTGTCAGAAAGTTGTTCCGTGTTTTCTCTGATGACTGTGATGATCTGGGTCACTGGGTTCAGCATCACATCGTCCACAGCGACCTGCAGAGTTCAACATGACTGATTGAGCCCACGGAGATTTAACCACCTTTGTTATTAAAGTAAAGTGTGTCAAACCTCGTCACTGCTCTGAACTTGCTGTTTGCGGTTCTGTTCCTGCTCACGTGAGCCCTGCTCAGGTTCTCTTGTGGGATTTGCCAGAACTCTTTGGTGATCTAAAACCAATTCTGGACTACGCTGCACAGACTGGGATAAAAAAAAATAAAAAAAGGAAACTAAAATAAAACAAATTAAATAAGATTGACCGGTGCAGCTGAACTACATAGAAAAATGTATGACATTCTTGACTCTTGATATAAACTTCAATATATTGACCTAAAATGTTCAGCTTTGTTATTTTTGACCAACGTTAGTCACTGCAGACTGACTCTTAGGTTTCTGAACTGGTGTAATTAATAAAGATTATAAAAAAAACATTAGAAATATAAACCTATTTAGTTAAAAATCTGTTACAATACTGTGCTTTTGACAGCTACCCAACCATCTAAGAATCCCAGGGGGCGCTGTTGGCCCCAGGAAAATTATCGAAAAAAAAAAGGCTTGAAAAACAACAGACAAAAAGTGTTTATCATGTTATAACAAAAAGAAACTACAGTTTGTGTCTGTGACTCAGTGAAAGACGTGATGCCTCTGTTATAGACACACCTGTTCATGAGACGTCAGTGTGGAGTCTAAAGCAGGGTTTTCTGCTGCGGGGATCTGTGGACCACCATCACCTCCATCACCTCCATCACCTCCATCACCAGCCACGTCATGGATCTCTCTGGCCAGAATAGCCAAATCTTTAGCAAGGTCTTGACTTAACCTAAAAAAAGAACAAATTAATGACAAATGTGAATGACAAAGATTATTTGGATATTATATATATACATATACATACATATATATATTTATATATGTATATAAATAAATATATATATATACACACACATATACACATACACATATATACACATATACATACATATATACATATACATATACACATACATATATATACACATATACACACACACACATGTGAGTGTATATAAATATATGTACATATTTGTGCAAATACAGTATATGCACAAAAATATATGCAGATATATACGCATATATAAATATATATACAAACATATTTCTACATATATTAATAAATACAGTATGTACATATACGATGTCTTAAAAATATTGTCTATTTTTTTTTTTTCAAACATACTCCTACCGTGCAATCTCAGCACTGTGACTAGACCAGTTAGGGAAGGCGCCCTTCCCGTGGCTCTCGTCCTCAGAGTCTCTGCCGCGGGGTTTTGGATGCAGGACGACCACCGGCTGGGCTCGAGCCGGGTTACGTGAGCTGTGGGAAGCTGGGGAAGGTTGGGAGCGTTTGGGTTTAGCAGTGGTCTGGTTTGAGTCGTACTCTTCGTCTGAGGTAGAGATATAGTCAGAGCCTTTCTGCCGCCTCCTGGAGCCTTGGTGTTATGAATTGATTTGAGATGGAAGAAGAGAGAAGAAAACAGAGGACAGGAGAATAGCATCAAAGAAACCAGGTAGGACTAACACCAGGTGTCATCCACAAAATTTCTCCCAGAAAAGGACAGATAATTTGCTCTAGAAGCCCACCTCTATCTAAAGCCAGTATTTTGACATTTATTGTAGAGAGGATGAGAACCAACCAATCAGATGTCAGTACCACAGAGTAAAAACAAGATTAAAAAAAAAGCACATCCACAGTATCCTCAAGGCAACGCTGTACCAAATAAGGTCAAATTGAATCATATGTACAGTGAAGCCAATGAGAACACTGAGGACGTGTTCATGAGAACATTTTTGTTTTGTGAGTGTGAGTATCATCATCGTTAGTCAAGAATCAGTTCAGGTTTTCACCAAATGTCACTCAGGTATATTTAGGTTCCAGGCTTTCACGCTGGCTCTGACTTTGAAAAAGGTTTTAAACAACTTAACTATGGTTTTTGACTTTGTCCTTGGTTCAAATGATCTCTTCCATCTACAAACTAAAATATGGTAATTCACCTCTACCATTAATCAGCAAGCAAAAAAACAAAGAGAAACGTCTTTTTTCATAATATTTCAAAATTAAAGTCAACATCCATTCAATATCTACAGCCTAATCCTTTTATGATGATGCGGAGGCCGGGAGCCAATCCCCACTGTCGTTCAAAATCCTTATCAGAAAGGCAACTTTGTTAGAATAAAACATGTAAAATCCTCATTATGTCTTAGCATTTTTAAGACTTTGAACGAAGAGAATTTAAACATTTTAATGACAAATAAAGTCTTAAATTTAAATGAAGAAATTCAAGTTTTAGGCTTTGAAAGTAATCGTTAAAAAAAAAAGCAAGGACTGAACCAGCAAAACTGCTGATCGTCTTGCTGTAAGGCGAGCCTGCAAACCGCTTACTCCAACCTGAGGCCCTTATTGTCTACAACACAAACTGAGACTGAGTTAAAAATGACTTAAGACGATTTAAAACCAACGCAGCTTAAAATAGGATTTGAGTTTACTATCTCACAAATCAGGCATGACCTGTAGGGAGCAGTGTTTTACTCACTTGCTGTGCTGCTGGTGTATTTTGCGCTGCTTGATCGTCCCCGAGTCACAGGTGTCTTGTTCAGCGCTGCCTTCTGTGGCCTCTCTCCAGTTTTGGGACCAGCGACGGAGGCTTTTCTATTGGAGCTGCCACCCGACTCTGTGCTGCGGTTGGAGAATCCGGTGCTCTTGCCTGCCCCCAGTGGGGCTGAATAGGACTCAGTGTCACTGGGTGTGTTGAATGAACTTGTCCTCTTACGAGGCATTGCCAGCAAATCCAGCCTGGACAGCTTCTTAGGTTCCTGGGGCTGCTTAGCCGAGACCCCGGCCACGTCCTGGGACAGCCTGTCAGTCTCGGTGCCCTCGTTGTCTGAAGCTTCTCCCAGGCGAGCACGACGCAGCATGGACGCCCTGGTGGGTCGTGGAGCTGACAAGCTGTTGGCACGGTTCAGAGCCTGGGACACTCTGGAGGGCCGGCCGTCCTCCTTCTGAAGAGGCACTGTGTATCTCTTGTGGGTTTGGTAGGTGTTGGACTCCTGATCAGAGTAGAGTAAACCGTGAGGGTCATCGCTCAGATCTGTGGAACCGCACTTCCCAACACTGCGTTTTAGTCCAACTGGCCTCCTGACAGTATCAGTCTTATTGGTGCTGTCGGCGCCCTGAGAACGGGGCCTTTCCAAAAACGTGGAATGAGGGTTTGAGTCCTGACTTGTTATACTGGCTGAAGACCTTTCCCTGCGGAGCCCACCGACAGAGGGTCTTTTTGTCAAGATGTTTGGCTTGACTTTATTGCTACGTTGGCTGACTGTGCTGGACGTATCCACATCGGACTCCGCAGAGGGAGAGTCCATCACTGGAGACGGACTGGTTCCTGATTGACCCGCTTGGATTTTGGCCTCCAGAACCGCCAAAACATCCTCGGTCTCCTTAAGGTAGGAGTGAGTGTCTTGACTTGAAGATTTCTGGAATAGTTCTACTTCTGGGTCCTTCTCAGCAGGCTGGCTGGAGATATTGGGCAACCTGGGGTTGCTGGGTCGCTCCGTGGTGAAGCTCTCCTGTCTGATTAACGGGACTGCAGCCTCTTTGTACTCTGGGTTCTTGGTTCTATCACCCAGGACAGGAGCAGAAGCACTGGGTTTTATTTTTCCAGAGTCTTCGTTACCTTTCAGTTTGGTCAGAGTGGCTGTTGAGAAAGTCTTACTAGCGTTTTTCTCATCTCTACGAGAACTGGATTTTAAAACTCCGCTTTCAGTCTTAGACTGCGACTTGTCGGACTCGATGTAGAACGATGTTGATTTGGCTGAAAGTCTGTGGTTATCATCTTTCGTAGCAGTCACTGCCTTACTCCGCTGCTCAATGATAGAGCCATCATCAGATTTGCTAGCGTCACTCAAGCTGTCAGGCTCTACGTCGTCCTGCACTGACAGCCGGTGGACGCCGTCCGGAGATGGACCTGTCACAGAGCTTTTCCTCTCTACGTTAAACGTTGAATGTGGGTCACACTGCACATGAATACTGGGAGCTGTGATGTCACTCTTGTCCACCACTGGTACCTGGGGGAGGATGCGTCTCACCCTTGAGTCCGCACTGTCGTTTTTTCCGCTGAGTGAGGCCTTGTGGGTAACTGTGGCCCGTGCTGAAACGAGTCAGATTTAATTTTATATTAATCATTCGTTTGACACAGTGAGGTATTCAGGTTTAGAAAGGTTTGTTGTTTTGTAGTTTTTTTATTATTATTTTTATTCCTATCTCCATTGCTTACCCTGTTTAAATGATAAACTCTGTCTCTAATGTTCAGCAGATCTAAAAACTAAAAAAAGATTTCAACTGCACATGAAATGTGTTTCATATAATATGAAGTACATCATGTTTTCAAATGTAAATTTTTAGATCTTTGATTTCTCAATATGTTTTATAACTTCTGTAATACTTAACAACTAGGTTTTGTTTATTAATAATTTCAATTTTTAGATCTTTGATTTCTCAATATATGTTTAATATGTTTTGAAACTAAGATCATGTTGCATTTGAATTAAAATATTTAATCATGCTGCTGTAATACTTAACCCCCAGTTTTTGTTTATTAATAATTTATATTTCTTGGAGCCTAAGATTTATGTGATTTTAGTTCAATTTTATGTATATTTTAAAAAACTGTCTTGCTGTTTTCTTCACTTGTTCTTTGTCACAAAGGAGGAGTTGATCCAAGTTACTTTGGTTAACAACGTATTATTAAAAAAATCACAAAGGAGGAGTTGATCCAAGTTACTTTGGTTAACAACGAATTAAGAAAAAAAAAAGTTGAAATACTAAAATGCTCCAGTAATTCAAGGCTCACCTGCTCCTGAAAGGTCCATCTGGGCTGACATGTCAAAGGTACCAGACAAGGAACTACCTTCTGTGAGGCCATCTGCTAAGCTGGCCCAGCAAGACATCCACTTGGGGGCGCCCTGTAAAACTGCATCTGATTCCAGCTGTTTGGAAAACAAAAACATTCCCCGTTATTAATAGACTTTAAACAGTGAAGATGAAACGTGTTAAAGAAAACTGGATATCATCCTGAGTAGTCAAGGGTGTTAATATGAAAAACAACAGCACACAAGTTGTTAATGGAACTCCTCACAAAACATGGTGTTTCCACAATGGTAATGGTAAAAGAGAAAAAAACAGCACCTGTAAGTTGTCAGGAAAGACTAGGAAACCACACGAAAGAGAAGAAAACAAATCACGGCAGTGGTGTGAGCTGATTTGTCAGTTTTCATATTAATGATTTCCTGATAAAAGCCTGTTACAGCTTGTTGATTTTTGTGTTAATGTGATTTACTGTTATGTCTGTTTATTGACCCCATCCTGAGCAGTAGGCTTTACCTCCACCACAGACTGTCCCTGCTCTGCAGCTGGCCTCACCTGACCACTGTTACTCTGCCTAGGCTGACCTCTGCCCTGAACAATAACAGGTCTAAATGCTGATGAGGTTTCTGCTTCAGTCTGGTCAGATCGCCCAAGGCGTTCAAAAACACCAAAGACCTGTCAGGGAAAAAGAGCATGGCAGGCAGACAATGGTTTGAATGGACAAGGTGGAGAAGACGATGTTCACTTTGCTCTGACTGAGAGGAACTTTCTCCATGGGACTCTGAAATACCCCTGAGGGATCCACCTCGAGGACCACGTACCTGGTCAATCTTGAACCTCGCCTCCTCCAGCTCTTTATCTTGAACATCTGCTTCAATAGTGTAAGTTCCAGCATCACTCAGACTGTCCTCCTCCTCACACCTGGAGCTGGGGACAGGGCTCTGCACTTCAGGGTCATGAGAAACCAGGGGCATCACAGGAGCCTTGAAGGGGATGGGTTTGTGAACTGGAGAAGAAGTCAAGGGCTGGTAAGGGACAGAAGGTGGAGGTGGACTGGACTGGCATTCCAACACAACCTCCGATTTTACTGTAGTAGACAAGTTTGTTTTCTTCTCCAGGCTGGCTGAAGAGGTTTCCCATTTCTGTTTGAGAAACTCTGCTGCATATTCCTGGGTAAACTTGGATCTTCGACCCACACTCCCAAAGGGCTTTACAGAGGCTGAAGAGCGAGAGGAAAAGCTTGTGTTGATATGTTCCTGCGTCTTCTCCCTACGTAACGAGCCAGCTCTTTGAGGACCAGGGGACGCACTCTCGCCCTTCAGGGGAATGGTGTATTTTTGCGTAGGGGGAACGGCGGAGGTCGGACTTCTCTTTGTCTTCTCCAGCTGAGCGTTGAGGGCTGAAGACTCAGGTGTGGTGGTGGTACTGTTCAAAGTCTGAGTGTGTTTCTTTCTGGGATTGTCTTCAAAGAATTCAATGACAAAGGCCTTGTTGGGCTCCACCTTGTCAACGGTGGACAGACCTTGTGCCTCTTCGGGAGGGTCAGGTGAAGGCTCTTTGGAGATCAGAGAGGTCAGCCGTTGTGAAGTAAGGTTTCTCAGCTGTTGTGGAGATACCTGAAGTTCAGATTGATGGTAAACATTCCCGTTGATTGATGAATCAACCGAGTCCTTGTGGGTACATTCTTCATTTGCTGATAATGAAAGAAGAACATGTTTAATTTCAGTTCAAAAGACTAACGGCAGTAGCAGCTGCAGCAGGTCGCTGCCACTGTTTAAGAATTTTTCTTGTCAATGTACGATCTGTGAAATATGAATGAACTGAGACAGGATTATGGACAGCAGTGTAGCTATGTCCAAAATGAAACCAACTTCAACAGAGAAGGAAGTTGACAGCAGCGACAGGGTAGAGCGTTAGTGTGTAAAAACTCACCCCTGCTGGTCTTTAAACCGGACGGGTCACTCATGGTGCTGTACACGTCTTCAGACTGTGACCTTCTCCTCATCATACTGGCATTGCTCTGGACCAGCCAATCAGCAACTTTGCTTTGCACTGACATCACTTCTGTGGGTGTGGTGGCGACCTCGGTTGGGGGCGGCTTTCGCTGCTGGCGGAAGGAAAACTTAGTGACGTGGTCCTTGATTTTCATTTTCCCTGGTGTGCATTCATCAAACTCGATGGTGAAGGAGGCGTGACTCTGGACCACCGGAGGCGTCGGGGTGGAGGGGACACACTCGGTGACATCCGAGGTGTCCTTTGTTGGAACCTCGTGGACTTGAGATTGTGATTCTGTCTTCTTGGGAGATCGATGCTGAAACTCCTTCGTTGGAATCTCAAAGTAACTGGGCTCCCGGCGGTACGAGAAGATGGACTTGGCTTGACTGTCGGACAGGGAGCCGCTGACCTCGTATTTGGAAGTCTCATGACTGTATTCTGTGACCAAAAGCAAAAACAGTTAGAAGTTGTTGTATGAATAAATTAATTTGAATAAACCAAAACAATAAGGGAAGTTACTGAATTATTACGTTTTAAATCGACTTCTCCCATAGCCCCTATCACAGAGCTACTGTGTGACTGATAATTGAAATTGAACTCGTAGACAGTTCAGTCTTACATGTTGAAATAGCAGAAGTAAATATCAAATGACCAAAAATAGTATGATAAAAACAAATTTTTATCTGGAATTTTAGTTAAAAAAAACAAACAATAAAATACACAACAATAACTATATTTGTAAAATATAATTAAAATACTATCAATGTTCATATTGTTACAGCTTCCATTTGGATCTCTGAAAAACTACAAACATTGTCCAAAATGTTACAGTTGTTAGAATAAAAAAAAAATCAAAAGACAGGTGTGTTGTGTTGGTGACATTTGAGTTTGGCATTAAGAGCTCAGAGCGGTGGGTAAATAAGCAGAAATAATCACTTTCAACCATGACATCTGAGGCCAACACACACACACGCACACCCACACACGCAGTGGAGATTACACACACACACACACACCCACACACGCAGTGGAGATTAGAGGATCGTAATCTATCATGAGGCAGACAGCTACTGCCCTGGCACAGCCTGGCTAACGCTTCACAACTGGCAGCCAGAACCCTGTCTTAATTTTCACACCATCACTCTCTCACTCTCTTGATCGATTATTTTTTATTAACAGTTAACATGCCAATATTTGTTTTTATTTCTCTAGCGATTACAAATGTAGATCTCTCTGTTCTGATTTTAGTAACCTGATGTTCTGCATGTAACATCATCATGTGTTTACCATGCTGACAGTTTTCCTAGATTTAAATAATAATAATAAAAACTGAATAAATTGTCGTGCCTATAGTATCGCAATATATCGCATCATTGTCTCTGTATTGTGATACATGTCATATCGCCAGATTCTTGCTAATACACACACCTACATTAAAATGTGTGAGATTATCTGAAATAACTTTGTATAAAACAATATTAGGAGATAAGTGACTACTGTGAGAAGATCAGACAGATCTGGGTTTTCTCACCTGGAGATTCCTGATGTGCTGATTTTCCAAGGCCGCTGTGGTTCGTGCTGGCTGAATCCTCGTCCTCCCCCCACCACGAAGGCTGGCCGTAGAGAGGAGTGGGCTTGGATATTGGAGAATCTGTTGATGCTGTCAGAACAACGGCAGTGACAAAGCATTCAGTGGGTGGAGGGACAAATATGGGGAATTAATTCATTTCTGCAGCCTTGCTCATAAATATATCACATGCAAACGTATCCCCACACATTAGAGATTAGTGATGCACAGACTGTGATACTGTCAACCACACAAAGAACCAGATTATAATCCTCCTGGTCAGCATTCACACAAGATAATTCTTACTTCAACTGAAATAAATCAGGATTAAAAATAAATAAAAAATCAACACTGCTTTTCAAAAGTGAGTACCAGTGCAGTAAATACTGCCCTCTACTGTTGACTCTGGTATATACAGTACTGTAATACTACATGCAGAGGTTCAACCACTACATGAGAGCTTGTTTCCTCCAGTGAAACGGGGTTGAAACAAAACCGGCCCCCCCCCCCCGATATCAACCTGTCTATTCGTCCTGTATCAGTTCATCTAGAGCTGCGGTTGGTCAGGCTGACGTCTGGGTTACACAAGCCCTGTGGAGTTTAATATGGAGGCTTCACAATCCTGACGACCAGTAACACTCCACCGCTGTTGCCTTGGACACAAACAATAAGTGGTCCACACAGGCAGAGAACCAGACAGACTGAAGGGCATGTGGACAGTTCCTGTCCCGAACCAATCAACTGCCTGAAGTGTGGCTGACGAAAACATATTGATGATATTGATATTTTTATTATAATTTTAAAAAGAATAATAATTAGTTGAAAAAATATTTTTCTCAATTACTAGACATTCCAGGCGACCCCTAATGGGGTCACGACCCCCAGGTTAAAAAACACAACTTGTTACAACTTAAATGGCCTCAAAATTACGATGTGAAAGATCTCGACTGTTTAGCAAAACATATTTATATATATATTTATTTAAAAATCTGCAAATTCTGCTGATTTATTTGTTTTGTAACGGGTAAATGAATCCGGTTATTTCCTGGCCATTGGTTAAATACTGACTAGCACTAGATCCTGTTAGAGCAAGAACTGACTGAGGCTGGTGAGCTCAGCTGTCTGATTGGATGTAATCCATATCCTGTTCAGCTGCAGGGAAAAAAAACAAAAGCACAAAGGATTGGACACACACACACACACACACACACACACTGTGAACACATGTTACACACACACACACCCACACACACTGTGAACACACACATGTAAAAGGTGGAGTTTTTTTTAGGAGGACATTCTACTGAAACAGTAAATTTCGTTTTAAAAAAAAGTGTTTTCACTTCTTTCTAATGCCAGGTGTAAACGTTAAAGTGACATTTCAACAGTTTTTGTTCAAGTAGGCTCAGACTAATTGTTCTAGTCCCACTGCATGCTCACTGTAGTGTCTATGTCTATGACTGATATGAACCGAGGTCAACTTCAGGCATCAGTTCAAAGTTTCTTCTCTGAGTCCACAGGCAATTTCAGACGAGAAAGCATTAAAATTGCTAAATCAACAACAGCTGGAGCAGTGAATGGGCTCCATTGACACAGTTCTCCTCTCAAACTGACAATTCTCTGACTGTTCTGGGCAAAGTGTAAAACAGGATTCACTCCATGCAGCTCAGTGCAGGAGCAGAGTGAGAGTAAATGGAAAAATACTGTAAGCAGCAGCAAATCCAGCAGCTTCACAGAGAGACCTTGGACAGTGTAAAAGACAACAACTTTTTAAATCATCCATTAACACATTCTTTCTAACAAATGTTTCTACTTTGTCTAGACACTCACGCTGAATCAGCAACTCACACACACCAGCCCTCGTCAGTAAACAGACGAGGCTGACAGAGATAAGAACGTTTGGCCGAATCATCTGAACTCTCGGCTTGTTTAGCAGCTTGTATATCAAGTTTGAGAAGTCGAGACCTTTTCTTACTCAATCTGGCCTAAAGGCTCATAGTTTACACACAAACCTAAACTCAATGAAGGGAAGGTCTTCATGGAACCAGCTGAGGTCCGACTATCAAATGACATTCAGCCAAACTCACATCAGACCAGCAAAGACCTCTTTTTCCTCTTTCCTCCTCTGTGAACAGAATATTCAAATTCACCCGAGTCAAATGGTTTCCTCTCATACTCCTGTTGTCTATAATCCTGCTATGACTCAGTACAGTACGTGGGCAGGTTAGGTGGAGCTGTTTACCCGTCAGTGAGTGGGCTTTTCGCTCAGACCTGTCCTGCAGTTTGATGCTGGACAGGGAGTCTTTGCTTTTCTCTGAACTCTGCAGCTGCTCCTGTTTTTCTCTGGTCTTTGGCTCCTGGGTTTTGACACCGAGCTGTAATTGGCTGGTGTACTTCTCATGCTGCAGACAGAGACAAAAGGGAAGCAGGATGTGAGATAATTTATGAAAACAATTGGTACAGATGTCCGACCTATGACCCAAAGCACAATCCCACAGAGTGGCAACGACACGGGAGTCAAGCTTGAACTTTTCATATTTAATCTGTGAGAAACAAACGTCAGGAATGAAACGTCGATTAATTTGTTAAGCTAATTAACTACATAGTTGATACACATTAGGGGTGTAAGAAAATATCAATACACTGATATATTGATATAGCGATATTTCTTTTCACAATATCGTATTGATATTTCACAGCACTGTACCGATATTTTTATTACCGTATATTCAGGACTATAAGTCACTCCGGAGTACACGAGTGCCCTCTAGCAGCTGTCAGTGTGAAAATAACCAACATGTAAATATTCAGTGGCACAGGAGTAGCAGACACTAGTAAACAAGCCTAGAGCGCCCCCTAGTGGATGTGAGTGTGAAAAAACAAACATGCGAAATGGTTTAAATGTAACGCAATATCTAATAATGCCGTGAATATTTGCATGTTAACTGCAAATTAAAAAAAAATAGAATAGAATATCATACAGTATCATGAAACAAAATATTGTGATATTTGAGTGTATTGATATTTTCCTACACCCCTAATAAACATAATTTATTAACAAGTATAAACGTAATTCCTTGACAAACCTAAAGAGACACAGCTGTTATTGCGTACTGTATTTAAAATATATATCTATATATTTGACTTACTTTAAGAGCCTCCTCTGGGACCTTGTGTTGACTCCTCTCCAGGGTGTAAACATGAGCATGTGCCAACGGAGTTAAAGCTCGTAATTTACTGATGTACATCTTTTAACTTTATCTTTACTTGATGAGAAAAATGTTGATTTTCGGAACTAAAAGTGAGTTGAGTTCAACAGGCTCTTATCTTCAGTGACTATGCCTTGATTTAAACAGCATCACACGCCTAAACAACAAGTACGTCTGTACGTGTGTATCTGTGTGCATCTGTGTGTGTATGTTCACAAACAAAATGAAAACCAAACTGCTGAGAAGTTTCAACTCCTGTTTTTTTCTTTTCTAAACTGCGTTTTTCATTTTACCTCTGGGATTCAAAGGTCGAAGGTGATAATCTGTCCACAACAGGCTATAATCCTAAACCCCCACTGAAGCCCCTAGGAGGATTAACATGCCAACGAGAAACAGCAGTGCAGGAAAATGAGGCTAAAAATGACCGAGTTGAACAATAAGTGAGCACTGCTTCATTTCAGCCTGAGCTGAAAGCTGCACTCACTACTGTACGTGACATAAATCACACTGGAGTAATGGCGGTCATGTGACTAAAGTGTGAGTGAGAAATAAAGAAAAGGATATCATAACCGAAGCGGACCACATCTGAGAGCTTCAGGGTGATGTACGTCTGGTCGGGGATTCTCAGATCATTGACAAACGTCTGCAAAAAAACAAAAAAAAAAAGGATGTTAATGCCTAAAAGAGTCTTCCGTTGATCAGTTAAGCTAAAGTGAAAACTAACAGAGACAGAAAAAATGCGTATATAGCACATATGATACATTTATATACAATATAAAACAATACAATGTGATACGATAAAACGCGATACATCAATGTACAGTACATTATGATACGATTCAATACAATTTAATATGATACAATGCGTGCGGTACCGCACCACATTATATCTCATATCATATGATATGATTTTGTACTTGGGCAGCTCAAGAGGACAAAGTCCTGGTTCTTCCTTCATGTCTGTGATGCACCAGACGCTGGGAGACAAATGTGGACTGCAGGAAGGCCAAATAAACCCCACAGAAGTCAATGTGCCAAATCCTGCTCTTTGTCCTTTTGTTGGTTAAATAGAGAATTGAATGAATTATCAAACTTTTTTGTGACGTCTACCAACTGTAAATGGAGGTAATGTCACACATTTGTAGAGCAGAGAACGAAAGAACAGACCCTTCCTGTCTTGGCAGAGAGCAGATAATTAGAGGAGAAAACCGCAGTCATGTTGGACTCCAGCTACAGGTCTTTGCTCTGTTCTGCTCTGATTAGTTTGGCTGCAGTAACCGATGCCAAAAGCAACAGTGTTTGAGAACAATGAACAGTTTCTCCCACCGCTCCACTCTGGGCTTTACTGGCATAATGTGCAATGAGGTGGCAACACAGAGGGGTGAAAGGAGGGAGTGTGGAGGAATGTGGGGGAGACACAAAAAAAAGGATCCTGACTGGACAGGAAAATCCAGTACAGTGATCACCGCTGTGTAACCTGTCTGAAACAGAGTAAAGAGTGTTTTTTTTTTTTTTTAATTTATAATTTTTGCTCACCCCGTTCAAACTGCCCAGGTCCTTCACCATGTGCTCGTCTGATTTTTGGTCGTAGTTGATCACAGCATGCTGTTTGTCCACGCTCCGACTCTGCCACATAAGAAAAGCAACAGACATTAGAAGTGAAAGGTTAGTTATTTACTCAAGGTGGCGCTGGACTCCCATTTGCCATAAAAACAAGGGTTGGAAATTTAATTTTAAAACATTTACGACTACTTTTGTGCAAAAGAAAAGTCTTTGCATTCTTTAAGCACCACACATTACACAGTGATTTAATCAACATGTTGCATCACCATGTGATGCACAATAAGGGCCACAATAACTGGTTCCTATGTGACATGTATGTGATCACACATTCATGTCTATTTCTGAGTGAGTGAACTGAGAAAAATAAAATTGCAAATTACAAAAAAATCCACAAATTAAAGCACATTTACAGTGTACAGGGGAAAAATTCAAAAAAAGCTATAAAAGTAGCTTTGGCAGAAGTGTTTTAAGTTCGTACTCTGGTCAATAAAATTGATACCTAAACACAAAACCGATAAACTGAGATCAGTTACTAAGGCTACAGAAGAAACACAACACAAGAGTTTGGTGATAAATTATATTAAAAAGTAAAACTTATTTCCCTTTCAGCTTGGGTTTTCTACAGCTCAGGTGATTAGTCAGAATAATTAAAAAAAAACATTTCAAAAATGCTTTCGTCAACTGTGCGTGAAGTGAGTCTTCACAACGACGCCCTGCTCTGCTCATTAGATGATCTGGGCCGCCCTGTGACCACAGTCGTACATCGTGAACACAACCACTGTGGTCGACCCTGGGGTTTGTCCTGTAGATGTGTATACTGTCAGTGTTCAATGTAATCAATGTTCTTCCTGTAGATGTGTATACTGTCAGTGTTTAATCAATGAACCTGGACAGAACGTGAAAATCGTTTTAGGTGAAAAGAGTAAATCTATCAAATTAAACTGATTGACATTCTGCCACTTGAAAACCTGTGCATTTGTTATGTTACACTGTGGGAATCAACAAGAAAACACCATGGAGCTCCAGATACAACAAGGACAGAGAGATTATTAGTTATGGAAACAGAGCCAGTGTAAAACTAAAGTTGTCATGGAAAACCCAAACACTTAATTTGAGGCCTTTAGCTATGCCATTTGATACGACTGACTCCCACACAACCTCGGCTTTTCATGCCAAACTGCCTTCTCTCGTTACGGACTTCTAACTTTGGTTTCAATAATCAGAAACCATGAAAATAATCAGAGCCATGAGCAGAGGTATAAATCTGAAGATTCAACGGCTGAAGGCCACTCAGAGTAGAATCTGACTGAGGGCCAAGTCAGGAAACAGGCCTGATGGGAATCAGCTCTGCGTCGTTTCAAACTTTGAGCCGAGGTTTTCTCCTGAATGTGGCGACACCTAAATGAGGACAACTTTTCAATCGAGGAGACCGCTGCGGTTGGCAGAGACTTTCTGAACATCACTAACTGAGTCATGAAAATGTAAACAAGTGTTTCTGTGGCAACATTCCTCTGTCACTGGTCTAAATACAGAGAGGCAATTTTACCACAAAGAAACGGCTCTGCTGTCGGAGACGACACATGGAGGAAACATCACAGGCTAACATCGACTTTGACGTTGCTGCTGTCTGGGGCAACTCTGTGTGAAGACACTGTCACCTGGTTACACACATGCAGTGTGGAAAAGTGTCCTTGAGCTGGTTCTGTCACAAATCAGTCAGTGTGTTTCACACACAGTTAAACAGATCAAACCTCAACTGTTTAAATGGGTTAACGTCCAATGACAGGGGCTGAACTAGAACAGCCACAGATTATTAACAGAAATACGAGCAACTTCACTATAAAACGTTGTTCCTTGGCCCCCAAACAACATTCTGGCCCAGAACCCCCTTTTGCAACCACATTTTCTTACTTTTATACACTATTTAATGATTATTAAATTTGTTTATCGTAATAAAACTATTAACAAAAGTAAGAGTTTTCAGCAGTGCATTTTGTGCTAGGTAGCTACATGCTAGTTTGAGCAACAGAGCAGCAGGATAACAGGCGCAAACAGATTATGTCATTGTCATGCTGAAGTGCTGTCACACAAGGTGTGTTCATGTACCACAGGGATCTTGAGAATTGTGGCAGTCTGTGTGTTTAGGACAAATTATTTAAAAAAATATAGAATAAACAATTATTAGCTTCTTTTTTGAATTTCTTCCTGCCACAGCCCCTACTTTGAAAACCACCGTGGAGACCTCCATTGACCATGATGGTATTGGTCGATTTATGTCAGCTGTTGTCAAGTAAGCTAATGATGAGTAATATAATATATATTTAGTAATATAATACAACAATACCTATAACGTTTGCGTAGTACTGCAGTTCAACAACAACTACTTCTACTGTAACATGCTTCATGTATCAACTCTTTAACAAGTGAGATGAACAGCTATCAAAATCAGTACAGCAGGTTTCATAATGGAACTGCAACGTGAGTCAGGAGTTGAGTCTCCTTACTGTAAACACCAGGACAGTTAGGCAACAACTGAACATGAAGAACGAGGCTCAGACCACAGCCTTATTATCTAATCAGGCAGCTTATCCAGCCTGAGTCCAACTAAGAACTTTTTATGAAGCAGTTTCATTCAGAAAGACCTGGTTTGGACCCCGTCATGAAGCAGCTTTCAGAGTGGAGCTCAGATTTACTGTACACTTGTTCAGAGAACACATAATCCTGCCTGGGATCAGATCTGGACCTGCTGCTCCATATTAGATAGTGGACCGGGACCCATTATCCTAATCAGTATTGTACCAGTTCACCTCACTGTGCAAATGGATCCTGATCCAAACCTTCTGTGGCATTAAAGGTTTGATGTTGAAATCCAAGTACAACATTGGTGGAACATGTGAGGATGTGCAGTATTTTATGTACACCAGTAGAACAACATTATCTGGAGACAGCTTCCTCACACACTCCCTCATTAGCGCGTACCTGCAGCATTAGTTCGCAGTCATCACGACCCACAAAGATCATCTCCCGGGGCAACCTGTGGCGGGTGCCAGAGCTGCTGACCAGGAACCATGACGTCACACTCATGTTGGAGCCACGAGTCAGGACCTTCTTTGCATCCTGTGAAAAAGATATCAGATTAAAAAAAATCGTTTTACCTTGTGACGTTCTTTGCATCCTGTGAAAAAGATATCATTTAAAAAAAAAAATTTTTACTTTGTGACATACATGTGAAAAGTTAGCACTGAATGGGCACGTTAAAAAAACTGAATGACATTTTTGAACGACGCTGTGTGTCATAAGATTCTTTGCTTTCTGGAATGTTCTTAGACTCCACTGACACAGTGTTTTGTTTTGTTTCTTTTACACAGAGTCATGAGAGGTTCACAGATCAAAGTAAAGCCTGAACTTTTGTTCTTGGTTCAACCAGGAGATCACAGATGGGAAGTCATCATGTCATCACCGTTAGACCTGTTCAACAAATGACTTCAGGTCTCGTAATACAAGAGAATATCAACACGAAACATCGTTTTCAAGACAATTCTATAAAATGTTGTTACATTATTTTCTAATTTCTTGTAACTTGAAATTCAAAAACTTCTTGTAACTAGTGCAAAAGTGTAACTAGTAAAATTGACCCTTTTTTTTTGTTTTCTTTTTTTTTTTGGACTGTCTTGCTTATTCTCGGGACATAATTCCAACCTTTTTATACACGTTTTTATACAATGTCTTACAAATAATATTTTGTGTTATTGGACTGAAATGCAAATACATGTGTTAGAGTGCAGTGCACCTGTATGGATCTTAATTATATTCTTAAGTATCATAGGTGCAGCAGTTAGCCCAGGGGTATTTTTCCATTATCAGGTCTATCTCCTCTTGGAACATGTTTGGAAAAACCTGTTCAAGGCCCCCACATGTCACTTTGTCTTAAGACCTGTTCAAGGCCCCCACATGTCACTTAAAAAAATGTCTTAAAAAAAACCATCAGACTGCATTGTACCATGTAACAGTCCTGGGGTGAATTACTTTTAATAAACACATATATTGACTTAAAAAAACACCAAGACAAGCAACTGGTGATAAGATTATATTTTAAACTTTTTTTTTACCAAGCACCTGAGGCTTAAAATGCCCTCTTGAAGAGCATTATGTGAGACACCTGGCTTGTGTCAGCTCAGCTCACTGAGATCAGGACAGTAAGTGAGTCCATGACTGAAAAGCTGACTGATAATATTGACAAATGGACTGTGACTGTACTTGGATTGGAGACTGATCAGTTTTGATGAGGTCAAGGGCTTAGAATAGAATAGAATAGAATAGAATAGAATAGAATAGCCTGTATTGTCATTGTAACACAGGGGAAATTGAAGGTGCTCCCAGAACATAAGAAAAAAGAAAAAAGGAACTATTTATACACAACAATACATACAGAAAAACAAGCCTTGTAGTGTAAACTGTAAAAAAAAAAGTAAGTAGTGCAAGTTGAACGGTAGCAGAACAGAGTACATATACATTATAAATATAGAAGAATATGAACTGCAGATTGGCTTCACTAAAGTTCTGAGAGACACTCTCAATATATTATGAATCCCAATGTCAACATAGCCTAAATCTTTCAACATTTTCTCACATTACTAAATCAATCATTTGGTCACAAATAAAAACAAGTGTGAAACACGTTTTTGGTGAAACCATCACTCATCGTGATTAATCCACAGCTGCTCTAGGATTAATCCGATTAAACTATTTAATCGTTTGACAACCCCTAACATATCAAATAAATAATACAATAATATAACAATCAAATATGATATAGTATAATATACACGCATCTGTGTGCGTTCTTTAGGGTGCGTGAGGCATACAATAAATATAATAGTTGGTTTATATGGACATATACGACTAAAATGGACCTGCACAACAATAATACATAAAGTAATGACTGTTAATTTAACCCAGTAATGCACAGGAAACGTCAGTTGCTAATAAGCCTTTTTTTGTAGTTAATCAGTGTTCGTTTTATTCACCTGCTGCTCCGCAGTGGCGGGTTTCACTGTAGTTAACCAAAAATTCCAGGGCTCGGCGTGTTAAAATTCCTGTAACCATGGCTTACTAACCACTGACATGATAAACACTGGCTGACTAAACACTGACAGCAACGAAATAAATGTCGAAATGAACAGTAATTTCTGTTTAACGTGGCGCCAATGTATAGTGTCTGTTGGAGTCTGTGCTAACGACGTACATGGAGTGTGGCGGTGACAGCGACATTGTTGTTAAGCTAACGTGTCTGTGTCCCCGTTTCTAGACCTAAACACCAGCTTCTATCTCGGTGACATGGTGAAAACAGAGTCGTTACCTTTAACGCCTTCTCCGCTTTGCTCTTGAATGAAGCCAGTGTTTAACGTCCGGACGACCGGCAAGATGAGCCAGGATGAGGGTCAGACAGGTAAGATTGGGCAGGTAAATGTCGGTCACACCCTCTGCTTCTGTTCGAAATGACAGTAACCTGAGTGAAACTCTGCTGCTGCTGGCTCCTCCCACTCTGTGACGTACACTCAGGGGTACGCATGAACAGGCTCTTGCAGAGAGTAAATCGAGACGAAGAGCTCTCACTCTGACTCATTTTACCAAAACAATCATAAGCGGCTACCAGAAATCTATATTATACAATAAAAATACGGAACTATATTTTACTATATAAAAGAGAGATTTATATAAACAGTACATCGAGTCGTTGATGCTGAAGTATTCTACATTCTAAAATACTGTGGGATTCTTTTCATCAAATAACTAGTGGATTTAAATCTTGTTTATGCTTTTTCGATGAGCTAAAAAACGCAACGACACATATCTATCATATAGTAATGAATACAATTAAAATGAGTTAGAAATGGTAACATAAATCAATAAATAAATCTCACAATTTGTCTTTACATCCATTATTATAACAACGTTTTTGTCGTTTCATCCATTGGGTCTCTGGATTCTAACTCGTAGTGAAACATCTGTTTTGATACAATCTCCCTCCGTGTCACTGAATTTTGTTTTTCCTGATTTTCACGTTGCGGTCGTCACTGTGGAAAATCCTGCTAAAAGGCAAGGGAAAAAATAATTATACTAGTTTGTCATTTGGTTAAATATTTGTTTTCACGTATGTCAAGAAATAGAAACTGGTTCAAAGTTGTTTTTTTACAGGAGTATTCCCATTTCAGTCAAATACTTTAGTATCTAGGCGATTATATACGCAGAAACCGGTGAGTGCATATGTTAAATTTATGGCATTTATATATGTGCACGCTTTCTTTTTTTTCTTCTTTTTTTACATTATTTTAACAGCTTTGTTATCCCGCATGTAACCTTTCAGCTATACATGTTCACTCACACATGGAACACTGGAGGGCGCTCTTGTCCTAATTATTCAGTGTGCCTTTCCAACGCAACAATGTGGGCATCTGTGTCCTACACTGCTTTGTTTTTTGGCGTTGGTATATACAGTACATATATATATAGATTTATTTATTTATTTTTCACGATCAACATGAAAAATAAATCATGTATATAGTAAGTATTATTATTAGCAAAGTTTTACAGCCTTTTGCTCAAAAGCAGTTTAAAAAAGTAGGCAACTGGACTCACCTCAAGTAAATTGAAGGCTCGTCTTACAGCTGTACTTACAGTTGGTAATATGAGATTTCTTCTTTCTTCCTCTTAAAACTTGTAACAAATATTTAAAAATTTAAAAGAAGGTGCATGACATAATGGATCCATGTTAGGATTTATGGCTTTGTGCTTTAAAAAAAACCTTATTTAGTACTGACTTTACATAAAGAGTAAGGCTGTGCCTTGTTCTTTTCTTGGCTGCACCCATCTGCCACTCTGACTGCACGCCCCTGCTGACATCATATAAGTCCTGAATCTAAAAAAATATGGCTGTTTCACTTTAAACAATATAATTATATATAATAAATTAAATATTAAATAATTATAAATAGTAAATCCCTTAAACCTTGGTTTTTAGAAATAAATAAACTTTGTAAACTTTGTTATATTTTTGGCCTATCCTGTAGAAAAAAAATCCCATTCAAAGAGCAGGAGCTGTAGCTCCAGCTCAGCCACGTAGGCCGTGTCACGGGCAGTGAAGCTGGAGTCAGGTGAGCGACGCTCGTCAGCTGAACACAACACAGTGCCAACGCCCCTCCCACTGTGTGGCTCTCTACATTACCGCTTGCCCAGAGACACACTGTGAACACTGGCTGTCAACATCTGCTCCAGAGACTGAACCATCTGCCCGAGGGCCCGCGGGAGGCATCGCTCCCTGTCTCAGACCAGCTGCAGGGCCCCAGACGTGGACCTGAGCTGTCCGGCAGAGGCAGAACACGGGGCCAAGACGACCAGCACTCAGCCAAGGCTGGAAGACGCCTCACACACTTTAGAACAATGTGGGTTTTTTTATCTGTAGATAAAAAAAAATCTTATAACTTATATGCAACAAATTAATCATATATGAAAAAAACAAACAATAAATGCATTCAAAATTATCATTTTCTTGCATAAAGGACTATTTTGAATAATTAAAAAATCATAAAGTGATTTATTGTCGTGTGTGTTGTGACACTGCACACAACACAACGTGACCTCAGTCTTTAACTCATCACCTTAGTCAGCAGGGGGCAGCTCAAGCTGAGCGCCCAGGCAGCAGTGTGTGGGGACGATGCCATGCTCAATGTATCTGGTGGATTCAAACCTGCAACCTTCTAGACCAGGCAGGAGCAAACTAAGGCCCGGGGGGCCAGATGCAGCCCGTTTTAATCCGGCCTGCCAAAGTTTTACCAAATTATATCCATACTTATATTATAATAGAAAAATGTAAAAGCATTTTAGCCTTTATGCATGACTTTTACATTTATCTTAGTTCACACAAATGCTCCACAAGCTAGCTTCCTTAACCATGATGCTAATACGTCACAATGTAAAAACTGAGAAAGTGATGACATCATATTTGTACTTAAAGAGAATTTTTGCAAATGTTTTGTCTTCAAAAAAGTGTAAAATTGAGAAAAATTTTTCAGCAAATGATCCACATTATGGACACATTAAGACCTTCAAAGAGCAAAACTCTGTTTAGGGCTTTCCTGAAAAAGAAAAAAAAAGTGCTATGGTATTTCCAGAAACATCTGGTATTGAAGTATTTTTACAGGTCGTACTCACAGTTAATGTCAAATTATCTGTGGCCCAAGGCTGTCTTTTTAGAAATGGCGATAAAAGAAGAGTTCCCAAGGCTGATGTTAAGACCTTTTATTTTATCAATTTGAACAAGACAAGTATAAACAGTGTACAAAGTTTATATTATTTGTTTACTAAAGCTGGTGTCCTCAGTCTTCAAGAAAATGGAAGGGGAAGGTAGAAGAAGAAAAAGAAGAAAAAAAGAACGACACTGAAGTAAAAAGTATAAATTGCTTTTCCCTATTTTTCAAAAAGGTGACAGCAAAGGACGAGTGTGCAGAGGAACGGGTGACAATCAGAGCGGGAAATGAAACAGAACAAGGCGTTTGTAAAGTGATTGAAATGAAAACAAAAGGAAAGAGGAAGAAAAAGAAAATCATAAAAACCAATACATTCAATAACGTATGATGAACTTCTGAAAAAAATGATTATCTGTCATCTTAAAAAATACTGTAGAAAACCTCTTAGTACACTTAGAAAACAACGAAGAGTTTCATTTCCCACGAGTCTCAGTTTAGCCTCAACCAACTATAAAAAGAAGGGCGGGGGGAAGGCGGGGTCGGGGGGGGTTCACTCATACAAACAGGTCTCCGTTTATTTGTATCCACATTTTAATTTACATTATAAAAGAATCTAATTTAGTCTTTACCAACCATAAAGTACAAATACAATCATTTTGGGGCAGCAAAGTGCATGTCATTGGCACAGTAAAAGTCATTTTAGTCAACGCTGGTCTCATATAAATAACTCAGAAGCACATGAACGGGTGGGGGGGGCCGTAGTCGCCCCCTCCTCCCAAAAAAAGAAATTCAAAGATTACTGTTTTCTACAAAAGCCAAGTAAAGTTGTGTAGTCTGTTTAAGAGACCTCACTGAGGCTGCTGTGAATGCACCGGGTGGGAAACACCCAATACTGTGTTGTACATGGAGGAAAAACCCAGAGGAGAGAAGAGTTTCTGACCAGTCAGCAGAGTCTGAACTGGCCAGAGGGAAAAACAAGTGGCAGCTGCAGCAGAATATTGATGTACGAAGGCATCAGGAAGTATAAGCACTATTGATGTACGAAGGCATCAGGAAGTAGAAGCACTTTTGTTTTTGTTTTTTTTTTTTGTTTTCGCTCAACGACAGGCAGGTTGTCGGGGTCAGTTTATTATCCTGACCAGGAAACTAGGGGGGGGGGAGGGGGGGGAGGGGAGGTTGTTCTCAGGGAATCACACGTGCATACAGTTATGATGGAGGTGCTGGGAATGAGTAAATCAGTAATCAATAATCATCAGTCTGATCTGAACTGCACCATTTATTTATCTGACCTCCTGTGGTGTGCTGTGGTATTACAACAAACTCACCAGTGAAAATTTGACGTCTGGAGAGAAGAACATTGACCTCCCACCACCCCCCCACCCAAGAAAAATCCTCTTGAGAACGTGGCGTCTCAGTGTGAGCAGCATCACACGTGCGTTACATCATGCAAGTGTGCAGAAAAAAAAAAGATGAAAAATTTGCCTTTACTGGGAAAAAGTACATTCAGGTGGGAAGCCAGAAATGTTGAAATTATGTTGTATGTTATAATTTAATGTTGTTGTTAAATTGTTCTGAAATGGTGTCGAGAAAAAAAAACTTCCAACATTCACTCGAAACACACACACGTACACACACACAGACGTACACACAGACACAGACGTACACACAGCTCACATGATCTTTTTGGTCCACACTTTGCCCATTTTGATTAAAAACTGTTGGTTCATTCGTATTGGTATAACATTAACACAAAGCGGCCGTGTTGAAGACCCGATCTGTGCACATGGAAGCCACGCCCCCTCACCCACCACTGAGCGTGGAGGTGCGGGGGCTAGTGTTAACTCTGTGGTCCGTCTTTAAAGGCCACTCGGAACGACCGCAGTCGTCCCCGTTTTATTCTTTACTTTTTACTTTTTCCTGCACAGAACACGACATTTTAGACTCTGACTGTGTTGCCTCCGGCCCACACTCTGCAGACAGAACTGGGAGGCTGCGGCGCCGGGAGGGCGGGGGCCGCTGGCCTTCGTGGAGAGTGCAGTCAGGTGGAGTGATGGGAAAGAATAGTGGGACTTAGAGGGAGGTCGTGAGAGTTGCTCTAGGCCGTCCCACTGGCGGAGTAGGAGAACTGCGGGAAGTGAGGTCTTCGCTCGCTGTCGAAGGACTCCATACTGTCATCTGCTGGCAGAGGGCAAAACATGTGAGCTCTTGTGAAAAAGATGGGATGGCTAACAGGGTAACACAGTGTTTTTAAACCTTGGGGTCGTGATCCCACCTGGGTTCACCTCAAATGTCTAGTATTTGATAAAAAAGAATTACTGAAAAAACATTTTATCGACTATTATTCTTTTTAAAATGATGCTGTGATCACATGACTGAAAAAGATATCTCTGGAGTTGAATGTCGTGATCTTTCTTCTGCTTCTACCTCTGATTGGCTTACACTAAACTTCACCAATTGTCGTTACCATTAAAACACACAGTAATGTGAAGAAACAGATATAAAGGAAGAGAACATTTGGACCTTAAAACAAAAAGAGCAAATTTTGCCCTGTTGCTCAATGGAAGCAATTTTATGTTGTCTGCAACCCTTATATTTGAACCATTTCAAGCAAAAAACATATTTTAATATTTGTGAATTTCAAGTGTATCAGATTTTTTTTTGAATTATTTTTTAAAAAACAACTAAAGACTTCATGAGCAAAATAGAAAATGTAATTTTCTAGATAACATTCAAACATATACAATATATTTTAATTGGATCAATACATCCCTGTCAATCCATTAAATCTAATATGGTTTTCTGTGCTGTGAATCGGCTGTCATTCATAAAAACACACATAGGGGTGTGTGTGTGTGTGTGTGTGTGTGTGTGTATATATATATATATATACACACTATATATATACACATACACACAATATTTATATATATATGCACAATATATATATATGTAAAATATAATATACATATATGTCTGTGCGTGTGCAGGAATACAATGTGTAATTCTGTAATTATATTTCATCTTCATTAAATTACATGTAATGTGATTTTTTTTTTTTAAATATGTCTACTGATTTAAATAAAAAAGACAATGAAAGAAATTCTGATCCGGGGGGGAAAAAAATGTTATATATATATATATATATATAGTGTGACCTAAATCAGGCTCTCCAGAAGAGGGCAGAGTGGCCTAGAGGGTATCAACTACATTTGCACATAATCCACTGAAATATTCTGTACATGGCAACATTCCATTCCTCTAATGAGCTGTAGACTTGACGTGAAGAACTGAAACTAAAAGAAAGTCCTGTTATAAATTTTGGTCATTTTCCAAAAAGATACGAACGGCTGTACTTCAAAGGTTTACCTGAGGTGAACTGAAAATGTATTTTAGAATCGACTTAGAACTATTGAGAGAGGGACAACACAGTTACAACAGTTCCAAAGGAGATGAATGTCCTGCACAGTGACAGTTTGTAGCTTTTAAACCTCTTTGTGCTTTTGCATAAAATTATTTCTACGATACGTGGATGTGGATATTAACGATTTGAAGCTCAAAGCTAACGCTTATGATTCTCCTTTCTGACACTGACAGGAAATCCTTCTACACATGACTTAATGCTCTATAAAACTAACTCTTTCAACTGTGCATGACATCAGCAAGGCAGTGCGGTCCGAGTGGCAGATGGGTCCAATTCACAGATACTTGAAATGGAATTTCCGTTCATTTGTATTTTGTTTTGTTTTTTTAACACTGCTTTGTTTTGTTTTCAGTGTTATTTTTCATATTAAATTGTCTTTTACAAGTTTATAAGATTATACATATTATTTAATTTTGCCAATCTTGGTGACCTATTTTTAACTGTTACTATAAATCTGTTGATCATCAGCATCAAGTGTAATATTATTACTTAATTGCTTACGAATAATGTTATATGTGATGCTATTGTCATTGACCAGAGTGTAAATGTGTGAGTACTTGCTATTTGGTTTGTCAGTACCTTGACCAGGTGGTGTGATGGTGATGGTCTGTGCTGTGAACTCCTCATCAAAATATCTCGTGTCAGTTTCAGAGGTAGCTTGTGGTTTAAACGGTGGAACCAACTGTTGGGGGAAGAGACGGGATAAATATGTCAACACATCTGCATGTTCATTTTCTGTCGTCGTTAGTGTCCATTTTATAAATAACAAACAACAGGATCGTCACCGACCTTCTTCATATAAACGTCCTGCCATTCGATTCCTGCAAAAAACTTGTGCTGCATGATTTCCTTGGCGTCGTCAGGACCTCCGCCTAACCTGGGAGACAGAATTGAACAAACTTTAAGTTGTAGCCCAAACTTTTTGTATTCATCCTCATTAAGTGGCTGATTTTTAGCACCATCTGCCCCCGAGCGGTGACTGGTTAAAGAGAACAGGAGAGGAAGCTCACGCTTATACGCTGAAGCTAACGTGTGGTTAGCTTAAAAATACTTTAAACTGAGCGAAAAAAGCTCCAACAAAAAAGCTCATAACATATGAAGTGAACCATGTTGGAGGCAACAACAACGACGCAAACCACTGGGCTTTTTTTTTAGAAGTAGAGTAACAATAGCTGTTACAAGTCTTGCTAAGTTAGCAGTCTGCTGTGGGCTAACGCTAAAGTAGCAATTACTTTTACAACTGCTGTTTAGACAAGTTACATTAGTTTAATGTCCGTGTTATTTGAGAGAAAGTTGGAAACAGGAACCTATTTTCATTTACTACAACATTCCAGTCACCAGGGACTGTTTTTTGAAAAAGAGAACCTGTGACTGAGTGCAGTTTGTGGGAAATACTTCATAATTATATGTAATGAGAATAAATGTTCTATTTTACATAAACACCAGATCAACTTTTTCTATATGCTGTTGAAACAAATTTGAATCTGGAAAAATCATAGTTATCAGAACGCTGGAATCTGCCAAAAAGAAAATTACAATGAATGGATCTTTACATAATTCTAAGAGGAAGAACCGGTCACCTCTGCATCGGGTCTTTTTTGAGAAGGCCAGAGAGAAGTGAGCGCGCTTCGAGACCAAGTGTCCGGGGGAAACGGATGTCCTCCATGAGAATGAGCTCAAACAGCTTCTCGTGGTCCTGGTTGTAGAACGGAAGTCGGCCGCACATCATCTCATACATGACTACGCCCAGACCCCACCAATCCACCGCACGGCCGTAGTCGTTGTCTTCTAGCACCTGTAACACAGAAGGTAAGGCAAAATTAAAGTCCATGTTTGTCAATGCCACAGTGACAAGAAAAACTACAAAAAATACTCTTCCACAAGGTGGCGCCAGATGTCAATAAAACTAAAAAAAAGAAAGACAGCTGTTGAAAAAAACTCTGTGTCTTTCTTCAATTCCTGTGAGTATATCAGTGCAGTACAGTATATCAGATGTAGAAGGTGGAAACATTTTTAAAAAATAAACCTGTAACAGAGCCAAGAATAATTTAGAATTTAGATACAGTACAAGACCTCCTTGAAAGAAAGATGTTTTTGAAGGCTGGAGAAAAAAAAGGAGAAGCATGTGACCCAAAGAACACTGTCCCCACAGTGAACCGAGTGAGTTTAAAATGTCAGGCAGCGTCAGTGCTTACTGAAGTATGATTGGCCGAAGGAAACTAATAAAGTTGAATTTGACAACATTTTCAAAAATCATTCAGTATGATTGGCCGAAGGAAACTAATAAAGACGAATTTGACAGGATTAACAAAAATCATTTAACAGCAACACTGGGTCTCGATATTTTACATTCTATAAACCAGGGGTCCTCAACACCTGGTCCTTGGACCAGTCTGTGGGTCATTTTATACCGAGGTGCAGCAATATCAAGACATGTTGCCTTATATTGGTAAGAGCCAGGACCAAGAAGAGGGAGGGAAGGTACTGGTCTGCGCTGCTGCCCGCTAGTGGCCGTCAAGTCCTTGATACAATAAAGGTTGGTTGGTTGGTTGGTTGGTTGTTTGGTTGGTTGGTTGTTTAGTTGGTTGGTTGGTTGGTTGCTACAAGTGTGGACTAAAACAATATGTTTAACTGTACATACTGTTACATGGTTCAAGCAATAAAAGTTGTGTCTGAACTTCAGAGTAAAGACAACAGCCCTTTAGACTGGATAAACAAACCTTCAAGCTGAGCCTGCGCCCCCCACCCCCCCCCACCCCCAACC